CCACTGGGGGGGGCGCAGAAGAAAAAGTTTGGGAACCACTGCACTAGAGCATCAAAAAATATCAGCAAATTCAAGAGTATGATTAAATGCAGTTAATATGTGAGGCGACACAGTATAAATCACACTTTTTAAATTAAGTGGTGTCCTGAATTAGCTTATTAATGGGAATGTTTTTCAAGAACAATATTTGTGTTTGTGCCAGTTTCCCATGCATTCACAGCCATAGAGTTACCTAAATATTAAGGGGGTTTTATCAGAATTTGTATAATGATCACAATAGTACCACAAAATATTGCAATAAAATTCTAAATCCATATCTAAGTCGCGTTATAACTTATATAACTTATAAGTTATAAGTGAACTTATAACTTACAAGTTATAAGTTCACTTTCACACTGCACTGTGTCAAATGAACCGAACCCTGGCGCTGCACCAAGAACCACTGAAAGAAACAATACCAAAAACCTCTGAAGAAGACAGGAGGGCAACTTCTTTTTTCACAAAATGCAAGACAGAAGTGGAGTCATCTCAGATTGTAGCAGTTGTAGGATTTCTAATTTGTTTTTGTAAAAAAACCCTGAATCCTTTCTACCGCTCGTGCTACACTCGCATCTTTGTTTTGGTTGCATGTACCCAGAATGCTCTGTCCTCCAGTATACTTCCTGATTTGGAGCGGTTTCAAGTTCTCTTGGCATTCAGATATGCCTTCGAACCACACCAACCAAACTGAGACCTGAGTTTTAGGCTACAGTTAGCTGCTTTGGAGAGGTGAACATTCAGATCTCTCCAAATGACGCAGCTTTTCTTGGCCAACAAAAAGTTTGATTAAAGCAGACTAAACAGAACTGGTGTGAATGAATCCTAAACTTCACTTCACAGCTGTCAAGTTATTAACCTGAAATGATCCCAATGTGACATTCTGATTTATTTTCACACCAGTACGAACACATTTGCTTAATGAATACTGACACATTTGCTGAAATGAACTCAAAGGGCCTTTTTTCACAGATATACTAGAACTACACTCTTTGTGGGCTGACTGCCAGGATTTCACCAAGGAGAGATGCTGTTGGGAGATGTAGTCTAATATTTATACAAACATCTCCGTCCATTGTCAAAAGAATGAAATGAATGCTTAATGCAAATCAGCTACCCCTGATGTATACTGCTTTAATGGGACTAGCTTGACTAAACTATTGTGATCAGAGAAGCTAATCTGATCTTGTAATTTATTTGTTCTGGTTAATAAAATCCAAAAGAAAAGAAAAACAAGGAGCAAAAATAAATTGCTTTAACTCTGAAAGTTTCTGTGTATGAACAGAGTCCACAGAAATCTTTTTAGAGTGGTCCATATAAGTTTGGCATCTCCCTAAAGGGAGAACTGGGGATGATGCGTTGAGACGGTGTGTTTTTTTCCTTCCTTTCACAATTTGAAAAAAAAGTGTGTTTTATTTTATTTTCACATCTCCATCTCTCTCAACACTTCAGCCTTCCAGTTAATAATTTGTGAACACATGCACATACGGCTCATTTTAATCCAGTTTGACAACAAATCCACAACAGACAAAACATTAACAAACGACAATACGGAGACTAATTTGTTTTTGCATTGGGGGGAGGGTGACTCCAGGTGCAAGATTAAAAACATTGGAGGTATGTGATTTTCCAGTTTCACTGCTAGCCAAACCAGAACCTACGTCTTTTTGGCATGAGGCTCTAGTCACAGAGGAAGAGACGAAATTCCTGAAGTGTCTTTCTGGGCTGATTGTGATTGGATGAGGTCCTGGTTTGCTTGAGTCTGGTTCTGATTATCACATCACAGTCCAGACAGCATTCCAGCTCTGCTGCCAGGCCAAAGCTTCGCGGTAGTGAGGGATAGCGCTTGTCACTGTAATTTTCCATTGGTAAAAGAAGTACAGGTAAAGAAATGTAACCCTGACCTCTTCATGCTAAGATATATTAATGGGACAAGACAAAAGAGGAACTGAGTGGGTGATTAATTCTCACCAGGGAGGATGTAAAAGAAAGATACAGATGCTGGAAACGAGTCCATTCAAGTGACTTAACTGCTCTGCTGATGAACCCGACCTCTGGACTTCCTGTAGGGAAGTGAAAGAAACATTTTACTACAAGGGCCAATTAAGCACCACGGTGGTGTTACTGACATGTAGGAAAGCTAAATAACTGGCTTGGTTCATGTGCAGTTCAAGGCTCGTCATATCAGTGTTCACAGCTAATGCTGATAATCTGTTAGATTTGAACTCTTATCCCTCTGCCAATTTAGTTGAAAATTACAGTTTTATATTTTAATCTAAAAATAGGAAGTTACCATATGACTGACTGATCTGACTAAGAATGGAAAATTATACTCATCTGATCACAACTACGGCTGAAAGAATTCACCTCGACTCATTTGAATGTAAAAAAAAAAAAAAAGTTTTTATGCATCATGTTTTGTTTGCTATTTTATTTAAATACAAAACAAGTTGAACCAAAAATGCTTGTATGTGTGCTTTTAGTGGATGTTACACATCTACACTTCTTCAAAAGATTATTTGTAAACTTTGTTGGCATTTTATTAGCTGAACATTTCTCAGCGTCTGAGCCAAATGGAGAAAGTGTTTCCAGTTTCACTCAGCAACATTTCTCATGACTTTTTCCTGTTTTTAAAACAATTCACAGAATATATCTTTGTAATATGAGCTCATATTAAGCTACGGAGTGTGCTATTACTGTTTTTATTTAGCATGCCATGTTTGCTGCGGAGTGAACATTCATTGCAATTCAACTTCTGGCTACGTTGTAGCATGTTTTTTTTATATTTATTCCTATTTAAGCATTTCTTGACTTTGGACAAGGAAATTAAACACTACTTTAAACTGGGGACACACCGATGTGAGTTTGGGTTGATACTATTATCCAACGTTAATATTGCTGTTATGAGCAATAACTGATATTTACTGATACTTTAGACAGTGAAAAATCAAACATACTCAGTTACACACTCCCTTTGCTGCATCACTCTCACATGCTGTAGCAAATACCATAAGACCAAACACACACAATCAGCAATACGATGGAAACCATACAGATATCTTTAAAACTTACTAACATGGGTCGATACCAATGCTAATGGATCTCTACTATAAACAAAAAGTGAAAACACTGTTTTAACAACAACATTGTAAAGATCCAAATAAATGCCTATTAAAATCAAACAGGAAACACCTCAAACAACAAACCTAAAAAAAAAAATAAAAATAAAAAAAGTCCAACGTTGGTCTAGATTAATACACATTTTCTGATGGCTTCAACTCCAGACATGAATATTAAGTTTCCACATCCTGTGACTTTCCATTTCAGATACATTTATTTCATGAAGACTCTGAACTCAGCCTTGAACAAACTAATCACCTTCTGCTGACACACATTTCACTTCTCAGCAATCTTCCTTTGAAGTTGCTCTTGTTCTTTAACCCAGACCGTCCAGCCACTCACTGACTCATCTATGAGAACTGGAAGGTTAATTCTGCAGCTTGTTGCATTTTCCTAATGCATCTGGAGATGTGCATGATTTGCTCTTGCTAACCTCAAAGCAATATTTCATCCAGGCGTGGAATCTCTGTGTAGATTTTGGCAGGCCTGCACCTTAAGGGGTTCATAAATAAGCAGCAGCATATGTTAGCTGTCCGAATGGCTGTGTTTTGGAACGTCAGAATTAAATAACTGCCCCAGAAGACAATTTTGGTTAAATGCTGGGATTTCTATTTGATTGTTTTGGCTTGTTTTGTTAAAAAACAAGAATATTACTGTTTTTTATTCAGTGATTACAAATCCAGCTAAAGTACTCGTATGTGATAACTTTCTTTCGTAACAACAGAGTAGGATTATCCAACTTGGAGTCAAAGCTAAATGCTCTCTAAAGATGTTCCTAGAAGTAACTGTAGCTGCTGAAAAGAGTGGAAAAACAGGCATGGTATAGGTTTCCCTAATGTTGACCTCTCAGCATGGATTACACACTGAGTCCATTTGAAAATGAAAACAGTATTAACAGTGAAATAACAGGATTACCGATATTATTCACTCACAAGACGACAACCTGCTGCTGCTGGATAAATATTAGGTGATGCCATGTTACAGTCCATGTCCTCGTGATACTGGGGCTCAGTGCTTTTTCTTTTCCTTCAGGCATGCAGATGGGACAACCCCGGGCCCAAGGGTCAGAGAGGGCGTGAGAGCATAGAAAAGCCCGGCAGGGGGATGCAGACGGACAGAGACGGACAGCGTCTCAGTGGATCTGCTTCGAATGCAGCAATCTAATACTGTAAACATGTTGTGTTCCCCCTAACCTGGGGGACACAACTGTCCCCCCAAGGACGCTGGGAGGAGATTATCAGAGGAGTTCACGAAGTTGTCTCAGTCTCGGTCAGTCCTCTCTAACAGCAGAGTAAAACAGGACAGTGAAGGATTTTCAGACCTTTGCAGATCTAGATCGGTAGGTAAAGTTGGTTTCTCATACAAATATCAGTCAACTGCAGATGTTGCAAAATTAAGGAAATCGGGGCTAATATTAGTGTAAAGTTAAATCTTAGTTGAGTCCATTAGGTTATTTTTAAACTACTACAAAACTTGGACAAAGCAGAAACCTATACTCTTCATTGATGCTGCACAACTGACACAAAGTCCAAGCAAAAATCCAAAACAAGCAGTGAACATCTGACTAGTTAACATCAGCCCATCCAAGAATCTATTTAACTTCCAACTATCCTTTTCCTTTTAAAATTTTAAAATATCTGAACCCTGTAACTTTAAAAAAGACAGTTTCACAATATGTAATGCTTTATCTAAAGAAACACACAAACATCTATACTTTTGGATAATTTCTGTTTCATTTTTGTTTTTAATGTTGTAAAGTGTCCTTGGGTGTTTTGAAAGGTGCTGTCAAATAAAATGCACTATTATTATTATTATTAAAAATATAACTGTTTTGATTACTACATTAGTAAGATACCAGTAGTTCTTTATATATACTGTGTGTACTGTCGTATCTTGGACATACCTTTACTTTGAAAATTTTGGAATTAACACTTTTAAATTAGATGTCACGAACATCACCGACTGAAGTCAGACTTCTGACTTGGAAAGTGTGAGTTTCTTTAACAACTCCAAACCAAAATGGCCATTTCACATGTAAAACATTACGGCTGTGGCAATATTAAGGCAGATTTTTAACACTTATAACAGTTTCTATTCCATTAAATCAATCATTTTACTGAAACGTCAGTCACACATTTCAGTAAAAGGATCTTAAACCGTAGAAATGTTATGGTATTGGCAACTAACATATCCCAGTTGAGAAAAATAGCAACCCATGCCAAAGTTATTGTTTTCCAAAATATTTTACAACCCTAAAGCAGAAATAAAACAGCACAACATTATTCACTCAAGTAAGAATGTTTCCATCAAACTTCAGGACATCTTTTCACTTCTAGTATTGACTCTCTGTCGTACCAAATGCACCCAGTCCGAATAAAACATATGATGAGCATAATTTCTGAGTTGGCATCTGAAACACTTCCGTGTCGATAACAAGACTCATCACTTCATCCAAGTTGCTGAAGCAAATAAGCCAATTTGAGTTAAAGATACGGGCATGCAGAAGCCATAAATAGGGAAGAACGATTGCTTACTGAGCTGCTAAGCCTGAAGCCAAACAACCACAACTTTAGGCCATAATATTAGACAAAAAAAGTAGGAAAGACTGCGCAAGAAGCAAATCATTAACTTTGAGTTATCATGGTGACTAGACTTTACAGTTGACCCTCCTAGTCTTAATTAAAGCCATTGAAGACAAGGTTATGAGGCACATTCAGTTCTCCGAGCTCCTGGCTTGTTCAGAAATAGAAATATGCTGGAAACTGAGATAGTCTGCAACTATCTAAAACCATTTAGACTGAGAAAAATGGCTGCCTTCTAATAGCGTTGCCTGTTTCGAAATCTGCAGTCTGGAAAAACAAGCTGTTCATTTTGCCAGGACGTTCTGGCACAGAGCAAGAGACCACCTTTGGTACACGAAGTCGATCTTTTGCCGATGCCAGAGATAGAGAAGTGATAGCTTTCGTCAAAGCCACCCATCCCAAGTTTCAAATCTTTTGGACCGTTTTCAATCATGATGCATTTTTCTCAGTTCTCTGAGCTTGGCACTGACAAACTATTTAACTGGCTCAGTTTGTTTACTTGTTTTTGTCTCACCCCATAAGTTTTTTTTTCCCCTCTCATCATAGAACACCAGGAAAGTGTTAACACATTCAGTTGAATATTTTTTTCTTCAGTCGTGTGGAAGGATTCTGCTTCAGTCTAAATATACTTCTGTCAGGTAGCCAGAGTTGCATTTTGTTGGGAGATTTTTTTTTATTAAGGATTTAGCAGAAGGAAACAGAAATAGCCTCATGTAACAATATGTCCACTCTAAGTTGTAAGCACGTAAAAAAGAAAAATTGTGTCTGAGCAGGTTTTTAATTTTAGAGGAATTCAAAAAAGAGCAGTTCTAATACAAAACACATGAATCATAAGAAAAATTATTTATAGACATCTTTCTGGTTATGTAGCGTTTGTTTTCTTTCAAGCTTATTGGCATTAATTCAGATTTATTTTTGATTACGTCTGAAATTAATTGAAGCTGTTTACATTCAGGAAAGCAGGTTAAATTTGGCCCATTTCACATCCAACTGTCAAAGCAGCATTCAGCTTCTATGCGCCACATATCGGCAACAAACTTCCAGAAAACTGCAAAAAAGCTGAAACATTGAGTTTCCATGAGATCAATATGAAAGCTCACCTGGTTAGAATTATAACCACAAACAGTTTCAAACACCAATATGTAATAAGTTCCACCAAATTTTATTTTCATTAAACAGTATACATCAGCAAAGAAGGAAAAGCAATAAATAACTGTGCAGGAATACTAATTATGCCTGTGTATGCTTGCGTGCGTGCGTGCGTGTGTGCGTGTGTGTAAAAAAACAAGAGGAAAGCTCTGTGGATTGCAAAAACTAGTCCTATTTCCAGTGATAAAATCTGTTAATCTGGCTCTGCCGCC